CATGGAAATCGCAAAATAGGAAACCCCAATTTCTATTTATATGGTAAAATTCTGCATCTGAGTCATAAATATAGATTCAGACTTCTTAAAAAAGCAACAGCCTGTCTTTGTCTCACTGTTGTGATGCAAAAAAGGCCGTTACCCAAGACTAGTGTGGTATCCACACAAAAGACTACTGGTCTACAGACATTAGTGTGTTATCATGAAAACAGACAGGCTGCATTCAGACAGACCATTTTTCCTACATTAAAGCAGTGCAGGGGGCCGTGTTGGCGGAGGTGTGTTGTTTCATCTATCAGTGAGACAGTAAATTCAATCCAGCAAGTCTAGTCAGACAAACAGATTTATGAGTTTAAAGCTTATATTCTACACCAAAAGGCAGCCTTGCCCTCGCTCCTCTGAGCAGATATAAGTCTCTTTGGACATTCCCAAACAAAAGAAATTTGGATTTACTCTATAAGTCACTTGTGTACTGTCTGTTTCCTAATTAAAAGATGCAGCTAAATAATAACTTTGAAAACATCAGCACTGTTTTACTGCTTTCAAACTGATGAATTTCCATGAGAAACTTATAGCTGTAAAGTAACTAGGAGCAAACAATTCTGCAAGACCCAGGAAGGGGAAGGGAATCTTGGCACAATAGAGGCTACTAAAAGTTCATCTGTCTCTGGGGGCAAAAAGACAGATTCAGTATGGAGCAGTATTAGCCTAGATTCTAATACCCACCTTTAGATGTAGGGTTCACCTCAAAAGGCACTGAGCTACATCTCAAACCCTGGAGTAGGACACCTCCATTGTTAAGAGCAGCCAGTTTCAAACTATGTTTATAGAGCTCAGCAACTTTTGGACAATTCCCAGGGAGAATTTTCACACTACTCAAATACTGACATTCAAGTGTGGCCAAAATTTTTGTTTTGTAAAGACAGCTTTTTAATAGTGTGAAGTGGCACTATGTTTTTGATAATACAGCATGCCTCGAGACTGCTTTAGCACATTCTTCCCACCTTGTACTGTCACCTTGTCTACTCATCTCTAGTAGTGACAAGGCGGTAATACTGTATTATGGTCACATTAATGCAGTATCTTATGACAAAAATCTAATCAAAAAGCGTTTCCAATGTCTATCCGGCACTTGGGCTAAACAAACCTGGAAAAAGTAAACAGTAAGCAGTGCAAGAAAGCCTTATTGGGCGGAGCTATAAGGATGTGACATCACATGAAAACAATAAATTGGCAGACATCCAATATCAAGACTCAGATTAGGAATTGGACCAAAAACATTTTCTGAGATGAGCCTCTTTATATCTATAGCAAAACATGGTGAATATGAGATGACTGGAAAACTGCTCCTCCAACAATTGAATAAACAAATCAAATCCTTGTACAACAGCCCTAGCGCCATAGTTTTTCAATAACAAAACAGGCCAACTAACGATGAACATCATGTGTAGACACTATCATGTGTACACAATAGGGATGTCCCAATATTCCTTTTCTCTTTTCCCTCTTAATTTTAAAACTGCACTGAGCACGAAACACTTTGGAGGTGATGATGTGCAACAAAAGGTCCCCAGCTGGACTCAGCATAGGGGACCTGTGAATTACACAGCCAGCGTCTCAAACCCCTTGGAGACCAGGACCCCTCTGGGTGGCTTCCTCTGTAGAGTCAGATCTGTAGTATGTGGTTGGACATGGTATTTTCTGAGCATTCCTCACACCACAGCATGTAACTTGGGACATCTGTTGCTGTGTCTCCATGCTAGAAAAAGTGGTGATTTAAAGAGAATTAAAAAAAAAAAATAAAAACAAACTGCACTAACCACCCACAGAAAGCAGCTCAAACAGCTCCTCAGACTCTCTCAACGCTCTAGTCTCTTTCATTCACTACTGCTCCCTGTCAGGGCTCCAGACTGCGAGTGATCAGGCGCATTTTGACTGACTTTTTTCAAAGGACACACTGGTATGACTGCAAAATGAACAGGTTATGCATGAACAATTGCTCTCACTGTAGAAATGGTGGACAGACAATCTCCACAATACTGTCATCACAACGGTTGTGTGGAGCTCTGTCACTCACCTGATTCAAGAAGCAGAGACTTCTAATTTCTCAAATGTGTCAATCCACACTGACTCCCAGACACATGTCATCCTTGGACCCCTTTTTTATGCTTCGAGGTTATTTTTTTCTTTGGCACATTTAAAGTGTAACCACCACAGTCAGCTGATAAAATCAGTTAGGTCACCTGTTAGCTTGTTTATGTGATGGAAACATTTTACTTGAATCTCTTCTGATGGATCAGGCTCCCAGTGTCACTGCAGATTTCCCCTCATCCTTTGTAGCAAGATGAGGAAATGCATAAAATGAATAAATCCATACATAGAGACACTGCTGATTTCTTGCTGATGAGCCTACATGAATATTATTTTTGTCCAGTACAGTTCTGCTGCCAGTCATGAAGTCCAACACAGACATCAAAGATCAGAAATTCTTCAGAAGAAGAAAAATGGGCTACAAATAGGCTAAATCACAGCAAAGCATTTACACAAAGCCTAATCATCGTCATCAGTGTCATTATCATCATGTTGACTGCTAGACTATAAACCGCTAAAGTGACTAAATAAAAAGAGGTGCAAACTTGTTCCAGAAGTGAGTTTCCCATTTATTGTGTTCCATAAGTCTCCCGCTCTCTGGATTTCATTGCAAATGTAGGCTATGCCCATTGGATGGTAAAGGTATTTAAAATTATTTATGAAAAATACTGATTCTTCTGCATTACGTTGCAAAACAGAGGTTGTGCCACTATCTGAGAGACTTGGTGGCACCAGTGCCACCGGTATGAAATGTCAGTCTAGAGACTGTGTTTGTCATTCACAGCAGAGCAAAGCCACAGTTCTAGTTGATAGGCTTAGGGACCAACTCCATTAAATATCCCTGCCTGATTAGTACAAGGCAGACTGTCACATGGCATGGCCAGATCTGCACAGAGGGGGAAAAAAAAACACCCATCATTATGAAAGCAATGTCTGAAAAACATGTCATGGATTAAGACCCATTCTAATGAAGAGCATTAAGACTTATGGTATTTAAGCAACACAGGCTTCATCAAAACCAGAAACTGGAATAGTATTGGTTCTTACTGATCTCAGACCTTTTTCCAGTGGTGTGCAATATTAATGACCTTCAAATGCCTGATATGTTAGCATCCCTGCTACTGAAACCACCACTTGCAGTCTGATATTTTGTAGGAACTCACTATCAGATCAGTTTTTGTAGAATGTGGGTCTGACAGAGAGCACTAATAGTGGATATTAGTTCTTTATTGCAGGGGTTTTCAACTGATTGTGAGCCAGGGACCACCAATGTGACTACGAGGCAGCCTGAGGACTACTATTGTGTGGTAGGTAGACTGGATGAGCGCTAGTTTAACTTGTACCTATTTTTTATATATCTACATTTTCATTATTCACAAACTATAACTGAAACATGGCAATGTGTTTAAAAAAAAAAAAAAACAGTGACTCCCCTAGGGAAATAACATGGTCACCATCCACCTGCATTGCCTTCACAGACCCCTGCTTTATTGCTCTGTATAGCCTAATCTGAAAGACAAAAATAAGTGCAGACAGGCTGCAGAAAGGCTGAAGCAACAAAGCAAATAAGAACTTTCCGAAGCTTTAGCAAAAAGAGAAAGTGGGGAACAAGGTTGCCTTTTCTCATGCTGCTGCAGTTTCCCAAATATCACCTGACATTTCACTTCCAACACTCTGGTGATCATTTCCTCCTGCCTTCTCTCGAGTTTATTATTTCCACAGTATTTTGAGCAACACATTCCAGTAACCCTTTTAAACTATTAACTAAAGTGCACTCCTGTGTTACTCTCATCTCTAATAAACCTCAACTCCACAAAATGCCATGCGATTAAAGATGATGAGCTCTTCCATCTTTGTCTGCACTGGGTATGGACAGAGATGAATGAGGCAAAATGGCACTTTAAATTCACCACATTTAATCACAATGTCCTCATGATTAAATATCACAAATATAGCCCAACACATACTGAATTCTGGATAAATGTTTTTATAAAATCTCTTGAATAAGCTTTTAAATAAAGATATGATATCTGCAGTTGAAAACTAAACTTTGTGGATAGACAGGCTATGCAATAGAGACTGCAGCTGTACTGGGACCTCTTGTTCTTGTTGGTACACAAATGACATCATACTGAAAACTGACATTTACCAGCCTGATGGCTCTCCTTTCGAGTCATTACAATTCTACACTGTATTTTGTCCTCACGTTACAAACGGCATGTAACACGTCGAGCACTGCGATATAACGACCGTGTACTGAGTGTCATGACTGCCTTGAGTCATGGAGGCTGTTTGTTCAGTACCACCCGGCGCTACGGCTGCTCTGCTACAGGCGCTGTTAAATGGGTTAAGTTTTCGTTAGCAGTTTTTGATTGCTCCAATTTATAAGTCCAGTTCGCCGCTACGCTTCAAGTGTAACGGCGAACCCGACTGAAGGTAAACCGAAAGAACACGGGGGAACAGGGACTTGCCCCTGCCGGTCGGCCACCCTAGACATCGGTTCATGGTTGCCATGCAAACAAGTGACAGCCAGGCTGCAGCAGCATGGGGTATGGTCTGCTCTGCTAACGTGGAGATGAGGGTTTACCACATGTAGCCAGCTAGTAACGTTAGCCACAGCCCAGCCACACGGCAAACCGAACAGTCACAGATAACGTTACTACCACATTCCTCTAAATACTGCGTCGTTAACACGCCCAAAACTATCGTCAGGATCATGGGAGCAGGCGAATCCTCGTCACTGTACTAGTCAGTGCAATCAGAGTTCCGTTAGCTAGCCTAAGTTAGCAGACATCGTAACATGCGTTAGTTAAACAAATACAAGTAAAGGTCGCTATAAATAGCAACTTATCCTTCTCGCCGTGTTGATGCGGTGTAGTAAGAAAGCAGTTTGATAAATGTAAACTCACTGTGCATCGACCAGGACAGCGTTCATATAGTTGTTTCCGAGCTTCCTTCCCCGTCCAGCGACATATCACGGGGACAGTGTGAGACAACTAGACTTCAGGGAACTGCAGGAGGGCTGTGGCTGACGGTTGGGGTCGGCTGGACAAGTTGCTCAGTTCCAACATGGAGAGCGTAGAGTGGACTGCGCCTCTTGCTGCGCTTCAGCTAAGCTGCTGCCCCACTGGGAGCTTTGGCGACACCTGTGGCGGCAGCGGTGTACAACAGCATCGGTCATAGGTTTTCATTCTCACATGATAAGGCTTTAAACCCAGGTGTTTACAAAGATATGCGAGCATTTGCACTTTGTAAACAAAATTATTTAAAAGTTATCCCCTCAAAATGGAAAAGTAAAACTTCAAGAAAGTATTGGACTACATGAAATTTATTTATTTATTTTACTTAAACACATGGATAGATTACTAAATGGGGCTATTAGACAAAGATATGGACCCAAGGCTGTAGGGGGCCCCTGGGCCAGAGCCTCTTGAAGTGACTATTAGCATTTCTTGTTGGAAAGTCGTGTTTATCACTTGAAAAAGACACAAAGACACACAAAATGACAACAAATAGATGCAGAGACACAAAATGACCACTCAGTCTCAAAACACCTACAAAGAGGCACAAAAATACTACAAAGATATGCATTATAAATAAACGCAAAATTATTGCAAAATGTGCATCACAACCACAGTCACAAAAATAGTGCAAAGACACATATTGGTTACAAAAACCACAAAGACCCAAAACAATTAATAAGAGACTTGTTGTCATTTTGGGCCTCTTTAAGAGTGAGGCGCTTGATCTACTGTAGCAAGGTGAGGGTCTGTGTCCAGGGGCCCAAGCCTCATAATCCATCCATGCTTAAATGTAGCACTTCCATAATGTAGAAATATCTCATTACTAATAAAACTTGTGTATTATCAGCAAAATGCAGACACGCAAAACACCAAATGTAAGTAAGTACTCAGCAGCCAGCACAATAACTCCTGTTAGTGTTACATAATTACTCTTTAATTAATATCATGTAAGTGGTATTTTACTGCTGTAGCTGATTGAGGTGGCACTAATTTTAAACATTTTATGTCCTGTTGGTTAGTGTAATCAGTAACAATGCAACTCATTTCAAGAATAGTACTAATAATCATACAGTAACTGCGCCTCTGGTATTTTATTGTTTTGACTCTATTAGCAATTCAATATTTGTCCATATCTGTTTGCTCAACATTTCTGTGCCATTGTGTCTTTATGGTGTCATAGATTTACTGCCCTAAACATACTTTTCAAATAATGTTCAGAGCTGCTAAAAGCATGCTAATATTGCACCACAGGCAAGATAAATCAACAACATGAACAGTACACTCCTTGTAGTGATAAGCCTGGAAGGTCAAAGCAAGTTCTCTGGCTGTGTCACTGAGTTGTTCCAATTAATAGGGCCCTTATTTTTTAATATTCTTAACATTTTCAGAGGCAGTTATCACTGCCTCTATCCGTAGCTGAAATATCCCAGTGTGATCTGTTATCATGGATTTACTGGCACATACATATTTGAGCTCATCATCAAATTCGGATCACCCAGTTATCGTTTGTCCTATTTTAATTTTGTATGTGCAGGTTGGTTTGTTGTCATAATGGCTCTAGCTGTCTGTGTGCTTTTATTGCAACATAGGAAGCTAGAGGTATTCCAGATCTATTTTTAGATTCAACTTGTGGATCTGAGAGATGTGGATGAGGAGAAGGAGGAGTTGAGGGGGTAGATGAAGACATGGAGAAAAGGCGGGGGTGTACTGTATAAGATGTGAGATATATCAGTCTTATTGAAGCCAGCAGGCTGAAAAAAACAAGCTGAGTGTCCTGTACTGTGTAAAAATAAAAACACCTCCATGTTGTAAAAAATCCCCCCGAGCGCAGGCCTGATCTGAGCTATAAAATTAGAACTTCTTGAAGTCTCTCTGTAAAAAGCCTTTTCCTCTTGAAGTGGGAAAGAGAAATCGTATTATTTATTTATCCTTCAAGGGTGCACTTAGCTACCTGCAACCTCAAAGTTGCTGTGAATAATGCACAGGGGTGCTAGCTCGGTCTTCCTCTGCAGCATATTCAGTTGTGTTGCTCTTTTTCATCTTTCCACTAAAACAATTCAGAGACAGTTTGCATCATGAATGTATCAGCACTGCAGTGTCCAATTTAGCTGCCAAACAGACTGTCCAAGTTAGGTTTGTAATGATATTAGCTTGTAAAATGTTAAAAATGCAAAGAAATGGCATACTGTGAGTGACATCAGCTTCTTGAGAAAAAATAGTAAAATGCTTTAGTTATATTGACGCTGCTGGACTCTAGCAAAGCATAGGCTGATGACACATTCACTCACAAACAGACTCAAACCACACATGACACGGCCAAAGACAAATCTGGGGTAAGAATATAGTAACATCTTTAATCAAATTTTTTTGACAGAATGAAGGGTACATTTTGCTCCTTTTACATTTTTTGCATTGTACCAGCAAGCATCTAATATGGCATTTCACTAACATACTAAAATGTCATGACTACTAAAACACAAGTGTTACCTGTTGTTTTAAGTACATTATGATGCAAAAAAATAAAACAATTCCTTAAAAATATATACAGGTTAATTACACATTAATTATCTTTATAGACAAATGTACCTACCTCCTGGAAAATTCTGCCCCTTAGAAGGTGAAAATAAGCAGTGTGTATATTCTAACATCATATCTGCCAGTGAAATGTTGTGTTTTCATTGTCCTTCATTCATTCATTGTGTTCCTGAGCTTTTATTTAACGTAACCCGTCTCCAAAATTTAAAACAAAATCACTATAAGACTCTGACAATCAAATGTGGGGTGGATAGCAAAATGTTCATAGAAACACAAATGCATCCAGTGCATTATTCACTACAGTGCATAAGAACACAAAAGACTACAACAAACAACAAACCTCCCCCATTAACAAGCATTGCACAGCTCAAATTGCCTTGGTGCAAAAAGTTTTAACTGGACAATCTGTCAGTAAAACTATACATGTTTATGATATATAAACAGTCCTTGTTTGTCTTTTACAGTAAGCATTAAAATCAGTAGAGTGTCTCCTATTGGTAGTAAAGCACACAGGTTTTGAAAACCACATAGTATTTACATATTTTGTACAAAAATTCCAAAGGTCCAGTTAAGGTAATTAAATTAGTCAAAACTGGCTATAATAATATCAGTACAGCATCCAGTGACCTGAGCTAAGAATGTAATCATCCATATCACCATGTAATCCAAATATTTGGTCACAAATAAATACCAGAAGAAGAAGCTATAAGAGATACAGGATGTTATAAGAGCATGAAAGGTAGAAAAAATAAATAGAGGACAATCTGCTAAAACTTTCCTATGCATTATTGTAGCCATGTTTTCTTTGGGGTTCTACGTTCTCATAAATAGAGAATGCAGCAGCGTTTTGGTAGATTAGATCCACATTGTTTCCAGTTCTTGACCTGATGATGTCCATGGCACACTGGTTTAAGAACACATACTGGTCCTGCAGGGACACCAGATACAAAAATTCACTGGGCTGCAGCATCGTGTCAAACACGTACAGTACATTAAGACATTTGTGACAACAACCACAGTGAACGTGAACATCTTACCTCTGTCTGCACCATAAGGGGCCGGTGCATGCGCAGATCATGGACGATGCCGAACACATCCACAATATTTTCCCTTTCAATCTGGAAGATCAGACGGTCAATGGCTATGAAGGTACCTGTGCGTCCAACACCAGCACTGAGTGTAGGCAATGTAGACACAAAGACAAGACAGAGAGCGACAAAATGTCAGATGATATGTATTTTTTAATTTATGAAATAATTGCATAGAATGAAGGCAGAAGTGTGCATGTTCTGTCGGACCTGCAGTGGACCACAGTAGGAGAGTTTCTGGAGTATTGGTCCATGTGCTCTCTGACCAAATGTCTGAAGCTGATGAGGAGCTCAGTGGTTTGTGGTACCCCGTGATCTGGCCAGGCTGTGAAGTGGAAGTGTCGCACTGTGCGGGTCTCAGCTGTTTTCACCTGGTGGACCAACAACACACAAAGTAGCTCTTAAGTAAGCACTGATGGGGAATGACTTTTATCGCTGTACAGTGTTGATTTTTACCCTCGCAAAATGGTTTTTCCCTTGGCATATGTAATATCTTACATTTTTAATGTTAAAGTCCCTGATGGTCCAGTCTTCAAGTGGGATTTCAGAGATTGTTGTCACTGTGATGTTTTCAAAGTACTTGGTGCCAGAACCCCAGTACTGCTCACATTTTATCTGGAGAGAGAACACAATCACCGATTTGGCTCTGTATTCACAACATCGCAGTGATCTTTAATCAAGCTATTATACATTACATTCGAAGGCACTGGAATTTAGATAGAAACTTCTTGGAAAAAAATGGGAGCACAGTACTTTTGGACTAGTTTATAGCTGACTAACACATGAACAATAGGCTGTCTGAATAAGGATGGACCACAAAGATCGCAAAAGTGTCGGGTCCGTTCAGACCATAAATCTCATAATGAGAAGACAGTTACAGTGGTTTACGTGTAGTGTAATGCAGCTTGTGTCAATCACCTTAACAGCTACACTTTTTAGTGATCAGCTCATACATCTTGCTTATTCTATGAATCCCTGCTCATAGAAATTAATCACCTTACATCAGTTATGTAGGTCATGTAATGCATGAACGCTGCATGTCTTTAATTCAAAGCAGGTACAGCCAAAGCAGCAAGGAATAACAAATGATGATGATAGTGCACAGTTGTTTGAAGATGGAGGATGCATTAATGGAATAAGATTACATTTAGGATGAGATATTCAGTGTTAAGATTCAGCAGTATTCTGGCCAACACTTGGAAAGCTATAAGGTGTGTGTTCATGTACTGTACATATACATGCATACTCACTCGTCCCTGTTCATGACAGCGCGTCAGCATGACCATGGTCTGAACGTTCTTCTCCCAGATCATCCTCCAGAATTCGTCGACTGTGGCGGGCAGAGGACCCTGAGCTGCAATAAACTCCTTCCTGGAGTTGTGACCCTGCCAAATAAAACACAACACAAACATCTTGTTGACTTTTTTCCAAAGTGTTCCAAACACCAGTGTGGGTGAAGATGGAGTAGTTTATGGTTTATGGCTTTAAGCAAAAAAACAAGCAGCTACGTTCACCAGGATGATTTAACGATACTGAAGCAATGACAGAGTCAGAGAGTGTCAGAACACACCGGCATGTAGTTAGCATTGATGTAGTCATCATATGGACTTCCATGGATAACAGAGAGTTTCACTCTAGAAGAGTCGTCTAGGAGGTGAGAAAAGAGAGTGAATGAAGACAGTTAAATGAAAATGTACAACATATTGTAAGAGAATGAAAGTGTGTTATTGGATTGATAGACTGATGGATCATCTTGATGTAATGTCCAAGCAAAACTGAGATAATGGTAGCTGACACATTATGATAAAGATTAAGGAGTGTTACTGATGAAAGTAGCAGAGGTGGATTTCTTAAGGTGACTCACAGGGAAGCACGTTGTTGTAGCGGTTCTTGGGCTTGTTCTCCAAATTCAGACCATTTGTTTTCGACTGACTTGTACCAACAGGCTTTAGCTCCTTTACACAAAAGAAAAATACTGTAACTGATGATTGTGTGGGTCATTTTACATCCAAAATCTGGTGCATGTGCAGTTCTACACACAGCAGTTTAATATTAGTAAGGATGCACAATCACGGAAAATCTGAAGTTACTAGTTACTGTGATTCCACCACTTGCACAGATAGTTGAGTTTTAAGAAATAATGAATAGCCAATGCATGCACACATGTCATAATGCCAATTATACGATATATCTATCTTGAATAAACAGCATAAACTACTGGACGTTATTTTGATATCATTAACAAATTAAATATCTTTAGCTACACCTGCCTGCTACAGTAGGAATAGGCTGATACATATAACAGGAGTCCCTGACTATGAATGTTATATTTCACCTCAAACTCTTCAGCAAAGCCACAGCTGGAGTCTGATTTCTGCTTCTTGTAATAAGCCTCAAAGTCCTCCACCCTCACAGCCACACTTCTGCTCAGATGGACACCAGAGGTCAAAAAAAGAGAAATGAGTTTTGCTCAGAAAAGCAGTTAAGCCTGTTCCTGTTAAAATGTGTAATATTTCATAGACCTGATAAAGGATTTATACTCACACTTTGGCTCTAGAAAAGGAGAGAGAGAAAAAACAATGCTGACCAACAGTTAAAACTATTATTGTCCATTTACTATTAATCTTAAAATGACAAAGCAAAAACCGTACCTCATGGACTGAAACTGGATGTCTGATGGTTGTTTGTTGGATACCCTGCAGTAGATAAATAGTGAGTTCAGTGTTCAGTCCTACGCAGACTGGCTCAATAGGAATTTGTATCAGTGATAATAATGACAACCTTCTCCAGTAGATAATGAAGCCAATGAGGAAGATGACGAAAATGATAAAAATTCCCATCACCACAGCAACTGCAAGAACAACTGAAATGTGGACGGTGAATATGACAGAAAGACAAAGAAAGAGGCAAGTGAGCATTTCCTCACATTATGGAGCATTTCATAGCAAGACAAGCACTGGTACTGAAGGATGGTACCTGGGTTCAGTGGGAGCGGAACAGCAGGATAAAACTTTGTTATTGAGACCAGTGATGTTTGACCATTCACAAGCTTATTTTGCAGGGACAGTCTGGTGAACAGCACAATGGCATATCTGCAGGTTTAAATAAGTTATATTTAAAATTCTTTACAATAGACATGTCTTACACTTTAACTTATTTTTTTTCTCTGCCACTAAATATTCTAAAACAACTAATGCTGCAATACTTGCCTAATATGCAATATGTCCAAGTATAAATACAGTCTCATTCTAATATGTCAAAAAAGGAAATGATGCCTGGTAACATATCAGCTTGCAAAGCACAAGAAAATGATAACTGAAAACATCCGTAACATAACTTGTCAAAATAAATAAAAAATATATCATTATTTAACACACTGTGACTAAAAATGTATAAGAAATACAAATTCAGGTGCTACATCATTAGTCATTTAAATAACTACTGATAAAACATAATATGTTACACCACTTCATAAGTAATAGTTGGGAGTTCATATGCAAGCCATGTTACATAACGGAGTAATAGCCCATAAAAACAATCATGCTATTAGAATGGGTTTTCTGCAAATGAGAAGTTACTAGTGTACATTATTTGATGCTGGACACATATTTACACATTATGACTGGCGTTCTTACCGGTATCTTCCAGTGGCTTCTAGAGCACCATTATCGTAGTTTTCCAATGTGGATTCATCTCCTACGTCTATAGACAGATAGACGTTTACGCTGCGTTTTAGATTGGTCGCGTTTCGTACTGTTGCCAGGTATACTGGAGTAGCCTTCGCTTTCCACTCTTTATAGGTTTTTCCCAAGTAAACTTTCAAATCAGAAGTGTTATCTGAAAGGATGGGATTTACAGAAAACAGTAAGTGGATTTATTACACATATAAAACAAATCAACAGCAAGGAATACATAGACTAGGCAAAAATAAACTGATCTTCAGCATCCAGTCGTCACAACAGTTTATGATACATGACATAATTACAAGAAAAAAGAGAAACCCACCAAGGATACTGTCTGTCACCAGCACCCCGACATCTGTGATCGGCCCGTTGGTGTTATTCAGCAGGCTGGAGTCTATCTGAAGGGAGAACCTGTTGTAAACCGTGTTAGTCACCTCCACCAGTGACTCATAGTTGGGTGGAATGGGTGGATCTTGAGAAAAAAATGTGGAAGAGAAAGGGTTTGGTTTTTTTACAAGTTCCTATTCAAATTTCACAAAAATATTAGCATATCCTAATGCCTCTCATAGTGGAGAGGCTGTCAACTACAGATCATTCAAGTACAGGTGAATGAAATGCAGTGAGAGCCCGAACTAACTGGGCATCTTTGAGCATTTATCTACAAAAAGTTTCTTTTCAACAACAGACATACAGTATAAAAGTTTGCTGTGCTGTATGTATCTAAACATTTTTAAAACTTGTAAGGAAATATATTTCAACATATTCTTAGCACTGACATTCTACAGATTGATATATATAATTCTGTCAAAACATAAAGTCCTACTTGTGATGCCTGTCCTGCACTGATGAGTCACAGGAGCGCTAGGCTGTCCCCAGCTCTCCGTCGTCACAGACAGCGTGTATTCAGTGTAGTGAACAAGACCGGACACAGTGTGATTGCAACAGCTTTTTTCCGTGTTGTTGATCTTGTCATTGTTTACAGTGATCCGGAAGGCAGAGTATTGGCCACTGGGTTTGGTCCACGACAGGATGATCTGGGCATTTGTTGTGTTTGGACCTTCACATGTTAAGTGTTTCACTGAGCTTGCATCTGCAGCATCGAACAGAATTAAACAATCTTTTTAACCTTAAGCACACTTAAAATAAGCTTGCTCTTAACATTTTTCACTAACGCACAATTGAAAGAAACTTATTTGAAACTATCATATAATTGCATTTGAAATAAACCAAGGTGTGTGATGATCATACTTGTGCAAGAGGAATTTGATGTTGGCGCACTTTGTGTACCATCAAAGGTCTGTGTGGTAACACTAAAGTTATAGGTTGGTTGTTTGAAAAACATTTGAGAGATGCAAATGTTACTCCAGAAAGTAGAAGTTAAAGAGGACAGGGCTTATGCTTGCACACTGCTTGGGTACAGAAATAAAACTCTTACTTGTGGTGACCATGTAAATAAATAAATAAACAAATAAAAAGTAAAGAAATAACAACAAAACTCAAACAACACATTACTAAAGAGTTGAATAAACAAACTAGAAACCAACGGGGGCTCAGGTGTTGGAAGTCTGTTGAGGGCCATTGTGTCATGTAGGGCTTGTACTAACGATGTTTCAATATTAGCGTTGTTTGTCTGCTCACTGTCGTTCTTACAAGTTTGTTCCCGTTTAATTTCTCTCTGAGGTGTTGGAGGACATTTGGCTACCTCACTGTGTGCTATTCTACTGTTGTCACAGGCCTCACCTGAGTCAGCTTCAGAGTATGCTTTAAGCCTTGCAGCCATTACTTGAAGATCTCTTTGATTTTCTAGCCTTTTAAGTTCTTGCTTTTGTGCAGCAATTGCCTCTTCCATTTTCATTTCAACCTCCTTTGCGGCTAACTGTGCAGCACACTCTGCTCTTTTTGCTGTGATGCTTTGCTGGTCCAATGAACAGACTGAGCGATGGCTACGAGCAGTAAGTCTGGAGATTGTTGTCCCAAACACTGACTGGGCGTACTCTCTGTCAAGCACCATATGAAGTCTTGCATTTTCTGCTTTAGCATCAAACTCTTCTAGTCCCACTTCACTCATGCGCACTTTCATTAAGCTCATCAAATCTGCCGTTACTGCTGTGCAGGAGTCAATTTTTCTTCTAATCTCTGTGGAGGGTGCTGATTGAGATCGTATATTTTCATACGCACCTCTCACTTGTACCTCCAGCCCTTCCACCACATCCATCATTTCACCCAAGTCTTGGTCAGAACACTCATCCTTAAGTCTGATACGTGTGGCTCTAATTTGTTCTTTCCAGCTTCCATATAGCCTGAAAAATTTACTCTCCTTCTGAGAAGCCTCTTGTTCCTTCAGCTCCTGCATTTTTCGGGTTAACTTTCTCTCCCGTGAAGATTTCCTGGGTTCAGCTCTTAGTTTGCGTCCTCACTCTGATTGCTCCATCTGTTTCACCTGCCCCGCTTCCCTGATTATCCCCAGCTGTGCCTTGTCTATCTCCTCCCTATTTATACTCCGCTCACCGTGCACTCCCTTGCCAGTTCAATCCTTGTTGCCAGGCCCCCTTGTTGTTTTTGCTCTCCCTGTATTTTGTCATAGCCTTGTTGCTCTATCTTCCCCGTGTCGTTGTGTTAGTCTTTTTTCCTGTCCCGCTGCTGTGTTTAGTTTTTCCTCCCTCTGTTTCGGACCTCTCCTCTGGACCCTGGATTCTCAGCACCACCAGCCACAGCCGTACAGGCCGATGAACAGTCTCTC